ATATCTGTTCGATGGAACTTAGATAACTTTTTCTTAACTTGCTGGTGTCTGGCATTAGAATAGTTTTAGACTAATATAATTTTTAATTAACTGGCTTTACCACGTGGTCTAGTAGGTTGCGAGCAGTTGATCTTGGTGTGTTGGTAACAGAATTATGAAACATAGGTCCATGAGATAAAACTGAACCAATTTGTGAGCTGAATATATTGAACCTATCTACAGAGCTATCTTTAGATAGACCTAGGTCTATCTATAGATAAAATGTGTGCACACAATACATATATAAAATGTATGTACACATGCGTGTGCACACACATAAGAGCTAAAATATTTGTCTCTACTTAGAATGCAGGTACCACAGGTTTTGGCAGTTACCATAAAATGAATTTTTTTTTTTTTTATTGTGAAAGCTATTGCCTACATTAAATGTTAAAGATCCATGCAACTTGATACAATTTAGTTAAGATTATGAACTTTGAAAGACGGACAGAACCCAGTAAACAATCTGCAAGAAGCATTTCCACTGTCAGATTTTTACTAGTGATTTAAAATGCATACATATTACATTAAAATTACTTCAGCTTGGTGCATTAGCAGTTGATGCTCTGTATATATGCACACTCATACACTGTCACCCCCCACCCCTCCTGTTACCATCCTGTGCAATCTATCACAAGGCACAAGACTATCAGATGACTGGGTTCCTCCCCTACCACCCCCCAAAAGCTGACTGAGCAAACTGACTGCTGTATTTCCACCCTTTGTTGCTTGGAGTGGTTTACACAGTGTACTGATCCAAAGCCTTATTTTTTTACCTTCCCCCCATTAAAATACCAATACATTTACACTGTTTCATAGACCAATTGTTAATGTCATCTCTTCAAAACCTGATTATGCTTACAAGTCATATCACCCAGGAAGCTAAAGAACAGGGTTAGATTCTTCCAGTAGAAATGCCACGAGTCAGAAATGATGCTCATAAGCAAAGCCACACATCTGTTTCCTCATTAGAATCGGGTTAAAAAAACAAAAACAAAACCTTCATTCCAAATAGCAGACACACTGATTTCTGTTCCATTTATTCAAAACACTCTTCTTTGGTTATAGAGAAGGGAGCATGAACTTGGACGTAAGGAGACTTCTTTTGCTGAAATAAAACATTTTTCCTCTGCATTTTACAAATCTTGCATTAACTTCTTGACATAAGTATGTATCAATTGCAATTTCATTTTCCACTCGTGCCTCACTTTTTAAGTGTACATTGATAAAAAAAAGTTATCAATTACTTTAGAAAGTTTCAAAGACAGCTGAAGATCTATGACAACCTGAGATGCCATTAGTACGTGGCATTTAATATGGACCCAACATTGAAAGATTTACAGTCCACTTCAGTCTAAATGGCAATCAGAAGCTTGCAAGTATCTAGAGCAGTGGTCTCCAAAGTGGGGTGCGTAAGACAACCCACTGGGGTGCGGGAAGAAAATATTAGAACTTCTATTTATATTTATATAAATATACATATATTGGGGGTGCATACTCAACAAGTTTTTTACTGATAGGGGTGCACAAATATAAACATACATATATTGGGGGTGCATGCTCAAAATTTTTTTTTTTACTGATAAGGGTGTGCGATCAAAAAAGTTTGGAGACCACTAATTTAGAGGCCTGAAATCAGCAGTGGGCTTTCAGAACATCAGCTCCTGAAGAAAGGAGTCATCTCATCACTGAACTCTGAGTTCTCCTTTTGCAAGCAAAGCCTTCAGCTCACCTTTATAAAAAGGCAAATGTCCTTTCCAGCAAATATGAGTGTACTCTAACTGAGTAGTGAGGTATGTGTTTAGATATAAGAGTATTTCACTTTGCATTAACACATTTGGGAAGAGGTATAAACAGATCTTTTAATGTGGCAAATACAGTGCAAGTTATTAGGCTGGAGGCAGAAGTTTTAAGAAACAAATTTCAAACATCCTAAAAAAGGTAGATATTACCATTTACATTAATCACGGCACACAAGTACAAAGCCCCAGAGAGCTGATAGGTAGTAATGTACAAGAACAATACCATTGAGACTACTCTGCCAAAAGTCAAACATCACTGAATA